GACATAGCCCAGATCTTCACTGAATACTACAGAATATTATACAACCATACACCCAAAACCAACAATCAGATCCGAGAGGCACAGGTGAAAATGAACACGTTCCTACAAAAACTAAAACTACCGAAACTAACGAAGGAGGAGACACAATACCTAAATGAAGACATAACAAGTGACGAAATAGATAAAGCCATAGCAAGCCATAAGAGCCACAAGGCCCCCGGCCCAGACGGCTTTGACAGGGGATACTACAAAACATTCTGGGAAGAATTATCCCCCCACCTAACACGACTATTCAATCACTTCATGATAGGGGGCAACCCAGCGTCAGACATGTCGTTAGCTAACATAATCCTCCTCCCCAAACCAGGGAAAGATCCCCTACTGCCAGCGAACTATAAGCCAATCTCATTAATCAATCAGGATATCAATATACTGGCAAAAGTATTAGCGGAATGCCTCAACCCCATCTTGAAAACATTGATACACCCAGACCAAGTGGGATTCATCCCTGAGAGCCAACTCTTCGAAAATACAAGAAGGAATATAGACATAATATGGAGACAGAGGACAACTATAACACCCACCTTAATAGTATTGATTGATGCCGAAAAAGCATTCGATAGAGTAGAATGGCCCTACCTTTTTAACCTGTTAACATACCTGGGGTTTCCGGATAAATATACCTCCTCCATAAAAGCAATGTATAGCAATGTGAAGGCCCAAGTGAAGATCGCGGGCTTTGGGCCCCAACCCTTTAGTTTAGGCAACGGCACGAGACAAGGTTGCCCCCTCTCCCCTCTGCTGTTCGCGTTATCTTTAGAGCCCCTGCTACAAGCCATTAGAGAACATCCTCAGATCAAGGGAGTCAAAGTAGGACAGCAGGAATTCCGGGTGTCTGCTTATGCAGATGACGTTCTCTTGATAATAACGAAACCAAAGGACTCAATGGATGCAAAGCCAAGCTGGAAAAATCGAACGCCCTCCCAGTGGGAATGTCGGCGGTGGACACGGAGGCAGTGGGAGCAGCTCATAATATACACATAGCAAGGGACTACATTAAGTATTTGGGGATTAGATTACCAGGTGACCCTAACAAACAATTTCACTTGAACTACACTCCACTTATTAAGACACTTATAACAGACATGGAATAATGGGTAGATAAACCCATAACCTGCATAGGACACATACACACAGTGAAAATGAATATACTGCCTCCTGTTCCAGGCCCTACCTATCAAAATCACTAAATCTGACCTAGCATCACTACAACAAGCAATAGGAAAATTCATTTGGCAAAATAAAAGACATAGGATCACAAGAAACATCCTGTTCCGGCAAAAACAAAGGGGGGCTTAGGCCTACCACACTTACATTACTACTACATAGCAGCCCAACTAGCGCAGGTAGCAATGTGGCACACCCCGCCAGACGCAAGGAGATGGGTGGACCTAGAGTCCTTATTAATGGGTGCAGATTTACCACAATACCACATATGGGTACCGAAAGAAAACAGACCCATATTGCGCACAACCTGCCTGGCGATCCTGAATTCCATAAGAATCTGGGACGCCACAGCCCACAAATTTAACCTAGTCTCCAACCCGACACCTTTAACGCCTTTACTAAGAAACAGAGCCTTCCCCCCGGGAATGGTAGCAAGAGATTTTGCCAACCTGGAAACAGCGGGAATACAGACAATATGCCACATGTAAAGGAATAACACACTAGTCACTTTTAACGAACTACGTCAGACAACGCACCTCACCCCGGCGGACTTCTTCTGCTACATACAAATCAAAGACTATCTGAAACACTCACACCTACAACAAGCAGCAACAGGGCACATGTCCTTCTTTGAAAAAACATGCCTCAACGAAATCACACAACAGGGCTCATTTCCAAAATATATGCCCATATTAGTGCAGAGACGAAAGAATGGGGTACACTCACTTACACAGACGTGTGGGAGAGAGAACTAGGTGAGGAATTGGAGGGAGCAGAATGGAGAGAAATATGGGAAGCCAATACATCGGTGTCCATAAGTGTGTCTCTCCAGGAGCAGGCATATAAAAAAAAAACCTTCGATGCCAGTAAAATTGAGCCAAATGGGAAAGACCCCGACAGATGACTGTTGGAGGGGGTGTGGCCAGAAAGGCACCTACCTACACATGTGGTGGAATTGCCCCCACGTACAACGCTTCTGGAAAGGGATCCAGTCTCTGCTCTCACAAATATTTCACAGAGCACCGGACTTGAACCCATGGACGTTCCTACTTAATAGACCTGTAGATAATTGGACCAAAAGGGAACAAAAATTAATACAAAAGGTGACTTTAGCAGCCAGGAGAGCCCTAGCCCAAACTTGGCCAAAGGCCGAAACACCCCAGGTGAGCGCGGTTATATTACACATAGAAGACGTATATCTTATGGATTGCCTAACTGCTAAGGTTCGGGGAACTACTTCGCGTTTTGAAAAAATGTGGGAACCATGGATCACCAGTGACCTAGCATGAAATAACATGGCAGACCAGACAGGTCCAACACAATCCTCACCCCCAACTGGCCGACACCAAAGGGGCCCACCTCTGGATACGAACCTAGACAAACCTGGTCCTGAGGCACCAACCCCCCCCCCCCCCCCCTCGATTAGCCTCTTTTGACCTCTTTGTACTTTATACTTTACTTTCATTCTTCCACTCCTACTAAAACTATTTCTATTATCGAAGAGTTAATGGGATAACTACCCAAAACCAAAGTTGATTTTTCATGTATTATGTTGGATTTATGTAAAAATGGAAGCACCTTGACAAACCGAAATGCCGAGCTAAGTATGTCCGAACAACCACGCTATGTACAACTACTGTACTAATCGATTGCTCTAACACACTACTGGCAATGTTTATTTGATATCATGTAACTGTCAAATGCTTCTCTCAAATAAAGTAAAAAAAAAAAAACTGTTGCGGATTTATTTTCTGCAGGAAAAATAAGAACTTTTGATGATCTCAAGAGAACATCACGTTTTACGAATAAAGACTTTTTTGATTATCTTAAAGTAAAATCTTACATAAAGAAAAGGTTAAAACTCCCATGTGAACATGTGAATCTAAATTATTTTGACCAACTTATCAATGTCAAGTACACTAAAAAATTAGCAAACCTTTTACTGTAAAACATGGTAAAGCAATATTACTTGCCAGCAATATCAAAATGGAATAGAGATTTAAATACACAAATCTCTTTTAGAGAATGGTGTAGCTCAATCCTGACGCTTAATAAAAACATACATTGCTTGAATCTGAATGAGCTGCTCTATAAAATCTTAAAGGACCACTATAGTGCCAGGAAAACAAACTCGTTTTCCTGGCACTATAGTACCCTGAGGGTGCCCCCACCCACAGGGTTCCAGTCCCACCGGGCTGAAGGGGGAGAAAGGGGGTTAAACACTCACCTTTCTCCAGCGCCGGGCTCCCTCGGCGCTGGGGACTCTCCTCCTCCTTCGGTCGTCATCGGCTGAATGCGCATGCGCGGCAAGAGCCACACACACATTCAGCCAGTCCACAGGAAAGCATTCTCAATGCTTTCCTATGGACGCTGGCGTCTTCTCACTGTGAAAATCAATAAAAATCAATGAGACAGCCATTAGAGGCTGGATTAACCCATTTGTAAATATAGCAGTTTCTCTGAAGGGTTAATCCTAGCTGGACCTGGCACCCAGACCACTTCAGCTTAATGAAGGGGTCTGGGTGCCAGGTCCAGCTAGGGTTAACCCATTTTTTCATAATTATAGCAGTTTCAGAGAAACTGCTATAATTATGAATGGGTTAAGCCTTCCCCCTAATCCTCTAGTGGCTGTCTCATTGACAGCCACTAGAGGCGCTTGCGTGCTTCTCACTGTGATTTTCACAGTGAGAGCACGCAAGCGTCCATAGGAAAGCATTGTAAATGCTTTCCTATGCGACGGCTGAATGCGCAGCTCTTGCTGCGCGTGCGCATTCAGCCGGCGGGGCGTAACGGAGGCGGAGAGGAGGAGGAGAGCTCTCCGCCCAGCGCTGGAAAAAGGTAAGTTTTAACCCCTTTCCCCCCTCCAGAACCGGACGGGAGTGGGACCCTGAGGGTGGGGGCACCCTCAGGGCACTATAGTGCCAGGAAAACGAGTATGTTTTCCTGGCACTCTAGTGGTCCTTTAAGTAGATGGTACTTAGTCCCTAAAAGGATAAACAAAGTATTCCCTACTCAATCTGCTGATGCGGGACCAAAGAGGCAGATTTTTTACATATATGGTGGGAATGCCCGATTATTAAAGAATTATGGAAAGCCTAGCCTAACTGGCGTTACAGCATTCCACCTGGGGTCTCTGTTGGAGCCAGGAGGACGGATGGAGAGGATCCAATGCTGCATTGAGTAACAGGAAGACGCAGGGAGCGTTTCCCCATGCCAGCGAGAACATTTGGCCAGCTACTGCACCGGACCAAAATGGATGCTGGGAGGTTGGACTGGAGTTGCCGCCAAAGCTAAGTGCCCAATTGGTTGCACATATTTTGCACAGACATGGAGCCTCCTAAAGTCTAGTGGTCCTCTGGGAGAATACTGTGGGAAGGCGACATCTTAGTCAATTTGGCTCAATCTAGACTCTGTATTTACTGTATATACTCGAGTATAAGTCGACCCGAATATAAACCGAGGCCCCCTAATTTTACCACAAAAAAATGGGAATGCGTATTGACTCGGGTATAAGCCTAGGGTGGGAAATGCAGCAGCTACTGGTAAATTTCTAAATAAAATTAGATCCCAATAAAATTACATTAAATGAATAATAATGAATGCAGAGTGTGTGTGTGTTTGTGTAGTGTGTGTATATAATGAATGCAGAGTGTGTGTGTTTGTGTGTAGTGTGTATATAATGAATGCAGATTTTTTTGTGTGTGAATGCAGTGTGTGTATATAATGCAGAGTGTGTGTTTGTATGAGTGTGTGTGTGTATATAATGCAGAGTGTGTGTTTGTATGAGTGTGTGTGTATATAATGCAGAGTGTGTGCATTATATACACACACTCATACAAACACACACACACACACACACTCTGCATTATATACACACACACACTCATACTAACACACACACTCTGTGTGTATATAATGCAGAGTGTGTGTGTGTATATAATGCAGTGTGTGTTTGTGTGAATGCAGAGTGTGTGTGTGTGTGTGTAAACTGGGTGGGGTGAGGGCATTTTTATTATTTTTTTTTAATTTTAATATTATTATTTTAATATTTTTATTTTATTATTATTTTAATATTTTATTTTAGTCCCCCCTCCCTGCTTGTTGCCTGGCCAGGGAGGGGGCCTATCCCAATACCTGGTGGTCCAGGGGCATGGGCTGTGCAGGAGGGGGGCCGGCAGCAAGCTGTTACTTACCTTTACAGCAACTCCGGTCACCTCCGTTCAGCTCGCCCATTCAGCTCAGAGTGTAAATCTCGTGGTCTGCGTGCCGCGGGTCTCGCAAGATTTACACTGTGAGCTGAACAGAGGTGACCAGAGCTGCTGTAAAGGTAAGTAACAGCTTGCTGCCGGCCCCCAACGGGACCACCGGGCTTGTAATGAGCCCGGCGGTCCTGGTCTGTATTATGGCAATGTAAGTGACTCGAGTATAAGCCAAGTGGGGCTTTTTCAGCACAAAAAATGTGCCGAAAAACTCGGCTTATACTCGAGTATATACGGGAGATCTTTTTATTATTTTTTTTCTTCTTTTTCCCCCTCTTCTTCTGGCCAAACTTAGATCTTCCCTCTGTTCATCAACCACCTCCCAGTACTCCCCTATTCCTGACTTCCAGCGGGATTAGCCTGATTAACTTGATAATAAACAGGGATAGGAACAGGGGAATATACAGTAGAATAAGAAGGAAAAAATGCAGTAAGGCTGGGAGGAAGGTGAGGAGGTGAGAGTAGAATGAAGAGGAGAGGAAGGGAAGGGGAGAGAGGAAGTATTACATTGAGAGAGGGGAGGAAAGGGGGAAAAAAGGGAGGAAATGCAATAGCTTTAAATGTATTTTATTTGCATAAAGAGAAACAGATTTGGATGGGGGAAGGGAGAGAGGAGAAAGATAATGGCTACAAAAAAAACCCACGAAACGGCAAACCCCCAAAAGGGGGAAAAAAGCCAGAAAACAAAACAGAAAAACGCCTTTCCTTCTTCTCACCAAACCCTTCTGGTAACAAATTAAACCTGGAGGAATCCATTCTCTCAAACAATCCATCAGAAGGAGTTACTAATAAAGGATAAACTGAGGAGGATCAGGAATTAAAAGAAGGAAGAAAAGAATATGACCATCTACTTGCACATCTAGATATACAATTTGGAAAATTGAAAGAAGAAATCCAAGTTAACACTCAGGACATTAAGAAGGAATTACTTTCCATTATCCAACGATTCCAAAAAGTACAAATTGATAGACCTAGAGGATCGGTCCAGATGGGTATCCGAACAAAATTTAGGGGTGCACCGAAATGAAAATTCTGGTCCGAAACCGAAAATTCAGGATGCCCTTGCCCAAAAACTGAAACCGAAACCGAAAATAACTTTTTTCCCCAAATGATTTTAAAAAAGTTTTTTTCCTATAATCTTTTTAACATTAGACTTTTTAATTAATTTAATTAATATAATATGAAAAACGTCCCTTCTCTTTCAGTGGTTCCCCCCCTGCTTAATGTTCCTCTCTCCCCCCTCTAGTGTTCCTTTCCCCTCCCTCTTTATTAGTGTTCTTTCCCCCCTCCTCTCCAGTTCCATAGTGTTATTTTCTCCCCTCTCCTGTCCCAGTGTTTTTTTCCCCATCCCATAGTGTTCTCCCCCCTCTCCTGTCCCATAGTGTTCTCCCCCCTCTCCTGTCCCATAGTGTTCTTTCCCCCCCCTCCTGTCCCACAGTGTTCTCCCCCCTCGCTTGTCCCATAGTGTTCTCCCCGCCCTCGCCTGTCCTATAGTATTCCCCCGTCCTATAGTATTCTTCCCCCCTCCCCAGGCCCTTAGTGTTCTCCCACCCTCCCCTGCCCCATGTTGTTTAATTTTGGCAAATGTGACCCATTTTCGGCCGAAAATTTCGGCATCCGAAATTTCGATGCAACCCTAGAACAAATAAATCCTAAAAACCTGGAACCATATATTGAAGAATTCTTCAAACATCTGAAGGTGGAATGGGACCCCAGAATCCCTATGATGTAAAGATGCCATAGAGTGAATAAACCTAAGGGAGTTCCAGAATCTTAAGAGCCATAAGAAGCAATTTGTAAGTAAAAGGAGTGAGACAGCGCTAAATAACTTTGGCAGCAACCTTTAAAAGGGAATCCCTCAAACCCTATAAAACAAGATAAAAATAAAATAAAAACAGTAGAAGGCTGCGCACATTAAGTAGAGTCCAATACAAGGAGAAGAGAGAAAAGTCCAACTGGTATATTCTTACAGGTATCCTTGGTTGGTGGGGTCTTCTATTTATGTGGTGGTTTCACTCGTTTATGGAAAATAAAAAGAGGAAAAAAAGGACATCCAATGGTATAGTATGTAAAATTCAGATATAGACGTAAAATTGATAGTATAAAACTCACATTTACCAGAGCTAATGTCCAGCTCTGGAGTAAAGCGCGTACAGCGGTTTTAATCCCCGCTTATAGGATATAGGCAGGTTCTTCTCCGTGGATGGTATCCAATTCTCGGGATAAAATAAAATAAACAGTGCTCGCTTCGGCAGCACATATACTAAAATTGGAACGATACAGAGAAGATTAGCATGGCCCCTGCGCAAGGATGACACGCAAATTCGTGAAGCGTTCCATATTTTTACGCTTTGGATAACAGCCACCCCATTGAGGTCAATGTAGGACATCCATCGGAAGTGGATGAAATCTTTGATGCCATATCTTATAGCAAAGGAGCTTCTGTGATCAGAATGTTACACGATTATATTGGTGATGAGGATTTCCGGAAGGGCATGAACCAATACCTCACTAAATTCCAAGAAAAGAACGCTTCTACAGAGGACCTGTGGGAGTCTCTAGAGCAAGCCAGTGGGAAGCCAATTGCTGCTGTGATGAGCACCTGGACCAAGCAGATGGGATTCCCACTAATATATGTGGATTCAGAGCAGAATGAAGACTCCAGAGTACTCAAATTGTCTCAAAAGAAGTTTTGTGCCAGTGGCCCGCACCTTGGTGAGGACTGTCCACAATGGATGGTACCGATCAATATCTGCACCTGTGAAGCCCCATCCTCTTCCAAACTAAAGATCCTGATGGACAAGCCAGAGACGACCGTAGTATTGGAGGGCGTGAGAGCAGACCAGTGGGTAAAGATTAATCCTGGCACTGTGGGATTTTATCGAACTCAGTACAGCCCTACCATGCTGGAAAGCCTGTTACCTGGTATCAGAGACCTCTCCTTGCAGCCTGTGGATAGGCTGGGTTTACAGAATGATTTATTTTCCTTAGCCCGTGCAGGGATGACCAGCATAGTTGAAGTATTGAAAGTCATGGAGGCCTTTGTGAATGAACCTAATTATACTGTGTGGAATGACTTGAGCAGCAACCTAGGAGTCCTGTCCACCCTTCTCTCCCACACAGACTTCCATGAAGAGATCCAGAGCTTTATCAGGGATATATTTTTCCCTATTGGGGAGCGGCTGGGCTGGGACCCAAAGCCTGGGGAAGGACATCTGGATGCTCTACTTCGCGGTCTGGTTTTAGGAAAGCTGGGTAAAGCTGGGCACAAACCCACCCTTGAGGAAGCTAGACGACGGTTCAAGGACCATGTGGATGGGAAGAACACATTGAATGCAGACTTAAGAAGCCCTGTTTATGTGACTGTTTTGAAGCACGGTGACAGCTCAACTTTGGACACCATGCTTAAGCTCCATAAGCAAGCAGACATGCAAGAAGAGAAGAATCGCATTGAACGGGTTTTAGGAGCCATTCCTTCCCAGGAACTTATCCAAAAAGTGCTGACCTTCTCCCTTTCAGATGATGTACGTCCTCAGGACACGGTTTCAGTAATTGGTGGAGTTGCTGGTGGGAGTAAAACAGGGAGGAAATCTGCCTGGGAATTTGTAAAGGAGAACTGGGAGGAATTATTTAACCGGTACCAAGGTGGCTTCCTCATTTCCAGGCTCATAAAGGTGTCAGTTGAAGGCTTTGCAAGTGAGAAAATGGCTACAGAAATTAAGGCCTTTTTTGATGCTCATCCAGCTCCATCGGCAGAGCGTACTGTGCAGCAGTGCTGCGAGAACATCCTTCTCAACTCTGCCTGGCTGAAACGTGATGCAGATGCCATAAACCAATATCTACTGTTGCGCAATGCTCCCTCTTCCACAGTGTGATTGTGCACAGCTGTCCCCCACCTGCTGTCTCACCACCCTGAAAGGCTAGACCTTAGGTCTCCAGTAAAGGAGGCTATGTACCCATTCTTCCTAATTCCCTAACCCAACCCACTGCACCCACTGGGGAGCAGGTACAACAAAAGAAAGTGGGGCCCGCGTCTTATCAGTTCCTAACATCTCCAGTCAGCTCTTTAGGGATTTTATTCCATTGCTAAGCTGATGTGTACATATGATTTATAGCTGTAGCATACAGCTGCAAACTGAATCTCCTCAGCTGCAGGAACTCCTGAGAGTACCCCAGGGGCTGTACTGGCTATTGGTTCCTGTGAGGCCAAGGTACCAGAGCAGAGGGTTATTCATAGATAAGGGGGCAGTAACAAGACAGTTCCTTTGTATGTTATTTAGCCATGTAAGTGGATGGCTGAGTTGAGCCAGAATATTCTTATTCTTCTGTTTTTCCCACCATTAGAATACTGTAACCATTTGTTGCCTGTTGTTTTGGGAGTTTAACCCCTTGTTCTGGAATAATTTTAACTTAAACGCAACACAAGTTTGCACGTATGTGTACTCATTTAACCTTCCTTCCCTCGTTACTATGTATCTTTAAATGGCCTGATCTAGAGCCCCATCATTACTGAAAAGGCTTGTTATTTGAAGTCTGTCTAGTTCTGAAAGGCTAACTTTTACTGTAGATCACGCCTCTTCAACACAGTCAAGAAGAGAAATGTTGAAACTGTTCTGCTGTATTAAAGTTCCCTTCCCGTCAACCCTAGTTCGAGATTAATTTCTAGGTTAGCCAGATTCTGGGTTTGTGCAGTCTAATGGCATAGTGGGAGGGCCCGTTGCCCTAGGTAAGCAGACTTGCTCATCAGAGTCTTCTTTTGTGCTATTATTTTAAGAAAATGAAAAGAAAGAAATATACAACTTGAAAAAATTAATTGGGAAAAAACAAACCAGTTGGCGTTAATAAAAACCAATGTGAGTATGTAACATAAAAAAAAAAATAAATAAATAAAAATAAAAAAAAAATAAACAGCCAATAGTGCTCACTGTATGGCAAATAATAATAAAATAACAAAAGAAATGTACTTACAAAGAAAGAGCAGACCCACTGCTCTTTGATGATAGCTTGGGTGGATTGATCCCCACCTACGGATTTCTTTGGGTACAGGAAACTTCCAGGAATTTTTAGGTTTCTTTTAAAACCATAAAAAATTTAAAATAACAATAAAAAAAGGCCAGGGTAAAATAAGAATGATATGTGTCTATAAAAAAGATAATTGGCACAAGCAAATGACCAAAAATACTTTAATATATATAAAAACACAATTTAAATATCCATAACGCGTTTCGTCACAAAGGGACTTTATCAAATGGAATAACATGATTAACCTGGCACATAGATGTTATATAAGAGCATAATTGTTTGAATTTTGGCGCCAAAACTTAGTTTGACCAATCAGAATTAAAAACACTTATACAACTTTAAAATACATCATAACTTATTTAGCACATAGTTTTTGGTAATACAACTTCATTAAAATATATATACAATTAAAACGAAGGTATGAAAGTGTAATTTAGGATAGTTTAAAAAAATCACGTGACCGGCGGCACTTCCGCGTTTCGGAAGTTCCGCCGCTAAGCAGCATGGGTAGTGTAGTTTAATGGTGGATAGGCTCAAGTCACAATCGCAGGGGTATTTATAAATAATACCAAACTTCTTATATATGGAAATCCAGATACTCAGAAAAGAGAAAAGAGAGTGTATTATCTTCAGTGCATATATATCAATAAAGTGGTGCAAGTATTTGCTCACCTTGTTGAGAGCCAAAGTGACTGGGCTCTCAGTATTAAGAGGGCACAACGCTTTTTTAGAAGCAGGAAAATGCAGGAGCTCAAAAGACTTGGTATAAGTTAAAAAATTTATTTGTACAAAAAACATTAAAATGATTATAAATAAAATCAAAATACCATCTGTAGATTGTCAAAATAAAAGTCCTGGCCGCCCGAGACGCGTTTCACCTTGTCAAAAAGGCTTTTTCAATCAGATACCTGCTTTCCATTTACTTCCTGTATTTATACCGAAGGGTCCAGTGCTGATTGGTCCTGGTGTCTTCTAATCAACCCATCCGTCCGCCCATATAGGGAGGCATGTTCCGGTTCAGCTGTTGTTAATGTTCGTATAGATAGACGTGACTTATCGGAGTTGCCGCAACGTCACTTCCGGTTCATTTCGATCTTCATTTTAAATGCTGGTAATTTCTACTTACAAATTTGTGGAAATGCAATGGGCACCAGGTTTGCACCCAGTTATGCAAATTTATTTTTGTCATTTTGGGAACATAAATTCATCTTTTAAGATCAGAGATAGATAATACACTAGGAATTCATTCCATTCTCTTTTCTGAGTATCCGGATTTCCATATAGAAGAAGTTTGGTATTTTCTATAAATACCCCTGTGATTGTGACTTGAGCCTATCCTCCTCAGGCTCTAAGCCATGTGAGTTTGTTGCCTACAGATTTCCACATTATCCATATTATTCAGACATACTGCACCATATTGTGTCTGTTTGTCTCTTTTCTCTAGATATCTGATATATAACTTGTCCCCTTATTTTAAGGCTAAGTGTTTTAAACATCAGCGCTCCACTGGGTTTCTTTGATGTGATAGATCTTTTTCACTCAAATCACTCCAAATTCATGCTAAAAGTAGTTTAGCTGCTGGAATTATATGTAAAATTATCATTAATATTTTTTTGGTCATTTTTGGCCAGTACAAGTTTAGCAGAACCAATTCTGGTTTAAAAACTAATATTATATGCGTTAATTTGTATATAGCCTTGATTACTTCTTTCCAGAAGTTATTTATTGGTTTACACTGCTACCACCTGTGGATTAAATTGCCTTCATTAATCTGACATTTCCAGCATCTATCTGATGTACCTGGGAAAATTTTCTTTAATTGTTTCGGTGTTAAATACCATCTGTTTGTAAGCTTAAATTGGGTTTCCGTAAGGTTTAAACAATGTACATATTTATTTAGTCTGTTTAAAAAGCTTATCCACTCTTCTTCTTTTTTCACTCAAATCACTCCATATTTTTGCATGAGTTTGTGTTAAGTTAAGAGGTACTTACACATGTGTTGAGCTGCTAACTTAATTCAATTTGGTTCTGTATCGTAAAATCTTTAAGCACCCTATATTTGCGGAGTACACTTTGTCTTTACTACTTTTAGCACGAAACTGGAAAACAGAGACAATCCCACGCATTCAAGAATTAATAACACAAGTCATTTGGCAAGCAAGAATGGAAAGGGAAATTTAGGCAATAGATATACTCAAATTGAAGACTGGGACACTTGGATAGGTAAAATGGAAAGGTTAAACTAACAATCAATTTCCCCATCACTCCCCTCCCCTAATGAACCCAGTATGTAACAATTAGCTGGGGTAGTTAAGGACCAAATATAGTAAAAAGAGGGCCAGAAAGAAAAGGAAAAGAGAGAAAAAAAAGGAAAGGAAAAGATAGAAGGAAGAAGAGGAAAAAAAAGAAAAGGAAAAAAAGAGGGGGAAAGGGGAGAGATAAAGAAAAGGAACTGATTCCATCCCCTACCCGGGCAGACAAAAAACAGAATAACAAAATAAGGATATGATACTAAATATAAGTGATTCTCACTCTCTCCAAAAGAAAGAAGCAAAGGGAAAAGGAAAAAAAAAGGAAAAAGATAAAAGGAAAATGAAAAATAAAAAAGTATAAGGATAAAGTAAATTAGATAAATAAGTATATACAATAAAATCAAACTAGGGATGGGGGTTTCAGGGAAATAAACAAGATAACACAAAATATTCATGATGACGGGGGGCGTGTTCTGCAGCCATTATATTGGCTGGGTGAAGCTCCGCAAGGATCACTAGGCCAACAGTGCACTATAGCACAGCAACATGGAATCCTCTGCAGTTAAACAAGGGGAAACAGCCATGGATAAGCGGACCCCAAGGAAGCAGCCATAAAAAACGGTGGAAGAAGGCGCAACGGTATCTGACCTGTTTGCGGCCTCCTGCACCACGAGGCTGAGTACCCAAGATGGCGGACGGGAGAGCTCGACGGTCCCATACAGAGCCCAGGAAGCGCAGCGGCCCAAGTGCCACCGAGATTGCCAGGAATACCAACGATGTTAAATTGGAGATCCAGGCTGTAGGCGCGAGGATGGCGGCGCTTGAATAGAGGCTGGAGTCCACAGCGGTGGCGCATAATGCGGCTGTGACCCAGATAAACCGCCTGACCGCGAGGCTAGCGTCGGCGGAATTAGCCCTAGACGAATTGGGGAACAGATCGCGCCGGAATAACGTCCGTCTCCGGGGCCTCCCAGAACGGGAGGGAGAGGGGTCTCTGATAGAAGTGGTCACCGCTATCTTTCAGCCGCTGCTGCCCGAAGTGCCGGAGCATCAGTGACATATTGAGAGAGCTCACAGAGCACTTCGGGCAAAACGAGGGGATAATCAACCCCCCAGAGACATTATTATTAAATTCCTGCACTTTCCAACAAAGGATGCCCTCATGAAACACAGCAGAGATGGCCCTATCCAATACAGGGACGCGGAATTGACCCTATTTCAGGAACTTACCCCAGCTACCTTACAACAACGGAAAGCATGGCGACCGATCACAACATTGCTGCAAAGGCATCAGATCAGGTACGCCTGGGGCCATCCGTTTCAGCTGCTGGCCTTCAGGGAGGGTCACACTAAGGTCCTGCATCTAGACAGAGATCCAGCGGTGTTCCGCAGGAGCTGAGAGTCCAGGAGGTGGTGGAGCTGGAGGTGCCTGCCCGGTCTATGAGTGGCTTTCGGTGGACGACTGAGGCGCCAGGCGGGCGGCCTCCTTGGGATCAACGGAGGAAGGTGTGGGGGTAATCTGGCTGCTGCTGGGGAGGGATTGCAGGTGTTTGTTAGGGGGATTTTGTTCCGCCTATGGCCCCTCGACGGGTGATCCTTCATGGTACGGCTCAGAAGGCCCCAACATCTGAGTTACAGGGGAGGGCTTTGGGGGCCTGGGGCTTCCGTTTGTTGTGGAAGCTATACCCAGATTTGGGTGGGTTAGGGATGCTGTTAGGGTACCACTGCTTCCTTATTTGGTTGCTCTCTTTGCGTGGTTGGGGTCTGCTGCTGTGGACGATAGCAAAAGGAATGAAGATTGTCCCCCACTCTCGAATGTGGGATGGACTCTAAGGGGCTCTTGGCATATCTCTCCGGATGCCTCACGGTCCTTCTCTGGCGGGCAGAGGGGAGTCGTGCTAGTTACAATATGGCGAACTGAGCACTGGAAGCGGGCAGACGTGGGAAGAGAGGCTACAGGTTATCAATGTGGTGCCACTTGGTCTCCCCATGGATATAGCCACTGTATTTTATAATGTGTGTCAGACTGCTTGTTATATTCTCGGGTTCACGGGGTGGGGGGCCAAATGGGCTGTGCCCCACTAGTTCAATGCTTTCAGCAGCCCTAACTTCAGCAGCCCTAACTCCAAGGTAACTGCTCTTATCCCCCTTTCTAATGCTATGATTGAGTACCGACTGGCCCACCGGACAGACTCTTGCAAGCCCTTTCAAAGGGGTGCCCCCTGCAGGGGGGGAGATAGTATGGGCGAGGGGACCGGGGTATTGTAGTCGGTACATTTCTTTTATGATATTCCCCACGGTGGCCGGGAGGGGGGAGAGAGTCAGGCTCAGATGTGGGCATGGCGTGTGGGCTATCCCTACCCGCGTTTGCGTAGTCCCATGCTTGGTGTAGTCGAAATAACGTCTGGTTACACCACCCCGACACGGGGGAGGGTACCCGGGCAGCTGAGGAGGGGATGCCTTCACATAGACGCTGGCACTCCCGGGGAGAATTGTGGACAGGCCATGGGGACTCTCTTTATGGGGTAGATTGCAGGAGGCAGAATCTCACAGCATAAGTGTTGGAGCAGTGCTCTGGGGGATCTAGCGGTTTCAAACATTGTT